TTAAATTATAAGGCAGTCTCTACCCACAATAGAAATGTTCAAAATGTATCATAGGAACAGGCTAAAGATACCGCGACATCTTTAGAATATTCTTGATGTATTTTGAACATTAATTTAACTACGAGATTAAGATTAAAAATGCAACCAGAGAATTTTTCTTATTCAAATAATAGTTTTTTTTTTACATAAATGTTAAATTATATATATTTATTAAATGAATAAATATATAGTCTATTGATTGTCTACATAGATGACACTTTTACAATAGTTTACGTTGTTTACACGTAAACATAGAGTATTATATTTTACGCGTAGATGCACAACCCTGATTAAAAGCATATATTAGCAGGGTTGGGAAGTAACTCATTACTTGTAATGAAGTTACAGTTACCGTTACTTTTTTTCAATAACTGTAACTTAACTTTGTTACTTTCTTTCTGTGTAACCATAACTTAACTTAAATTTTTAAGTAACTAGTAACTAATTTAATAATTACTTTTACAGTTACTATATATATGTCAAATCGTCACTTTTATGAATCCAAATTATGCAACATTTTCGCTCAATCATCTAATCGTAGTGTTGATTGTAATTATGCGAAATATTTAAATGCTCATATATTTAAATACGCACATTACTTTTCTTTTTTAAATAAAATTATATGATATGTGAATGCAAATCTTCTTTTTTATAATGCTAATGTTGTTCTATTAAAAGTAACTGAAAAGATTTGAAAAAGAAATGAAATGATTCGTAACTTGTTACGGTAACTAGTTACTTTTTGAGAGACAAAAACTGTAACTAGTTACTTTTACAAAGTAATTTTTCCAACCCTGTATATTAGGCAGCAAAAAAGATGGCATGCGTACCTAAATGTCTTATCATGCACACATTTAGCACACAGAGCTAAGTTTTTTATAGCCACGCGCGAAAGTTTGATTTGTAATTGTTTTTGCAATGTGGCATTGCCATATGCTGCACATCTACAGCGCATTTAGCATTTATATTTTGCAGTATATAAGCTATGTACTGCAAATATTATTACTCTATTGCGAAGATAAAATAGCATAGTAGATTCGGCTAAATATTATTTGATTTTAGCGGCAAATATTTTTTGCTGTAGCACCTACATTTTAATAACTAATAAATTGAACTTTGGCAGCAACGACATTAGCTGTCCCTATTTTAACGACACATCATAGCTGCCATAGTTATATTATTAACTTCATTGGCTAATCCTTTTTCTGTGTGCGCCCGCTTTCTTAAATCGCTCTCTCGTTCGCGCGTCTCCGCGCGGTTATCCCAGCGGAGGGAGATATACGGCCGTCGTCGTTGCCGGGATTGTCGTCGCACGTTGAACAACGGCAGTAGGGCAGCAGCGGTGGAGGACGCGATATAATTGCGTCCGGCGGCTCCCGGCGGGGGAGCCGCGCGCGTTAACGAAAAGCATTAATTTAGAATGCTCTGCGGTTTTCTTGCTGCGGAGAAACCGGCCGGTGCAACTCCCGTATGCAATTAACGGCTGCCGCTCGTATACATATACCCGGCCGCGCCGTGCCCGCACAACGGAGGGCAAACGGAGGGGGGGGGGGGGA